GGGATTTTGTAATGGCTTAGATCAAGAACGTAAAAATATAAGCCTATTTGTTCTGTTTAATTCTGTGGTACACTTAGAAGAAATCATTCAAACCTCATGATCCTTGTATTTTCTCATCCTAATAATGGTTTATCAGAGCAGCAGTACAATCGACCAAAGCCCTGCCTTTAACAGATGTTTCATCTCAGGAAACCCAGGGGGCAATTTATATAAATGTTTTGCCCTTGTGTGCCATGAACTTTTAGCGTTCCATGTTTCTAAGCCTATCAAGTTACAGAACCCATTATAGATACTAATTGTTATTTGCAACCATTTCTGATACTAATTAATGAATCACTAATGACACCACCTGAAATAACAATGATTTTAGGACAGAGATTTTTGGCTCATAGATCCTACAGCCTGGAGGTAAGCATTTCAAGAATGGTCAGGTAGCTCCACATTGTTATCGAGGACCTAGCTCCTTTATCTTTCTTCTTTATCATATGTAGTATATGGTTCCTGCTCACAAGTTGCTTCATGTCACAATGTGCCTGTTAGTGCTCTAGCCATCACATACAAATTCCAGGAAAGAGGGGAAAGAAGGGAAGGACAGCTACATAAGCACATTTTAGAGGGTTTGCCTGGAAGCTCTGTCTACCCAGTGAGTCTCCTTACATCTATTGATCAACCAGTGAAAGGCCCAAAAATGTAGGCTGGGAAACTTGCTCTATAATAGGGCACATTGTCACCCATGACACTGTAGGTTTTTTTTTTTTTTTTTTTTTAATTTTTTTTAGTTGTAGATAGAAACAATGCCCTTATTTAATTAATTAATTTATTGTTTGTTTGTTTGTTTATTTATTTATTTATATATGGTGCAGAGGACCAAACCCAGTGCCTCACACATGCTAGGCAAGCACTCTGCCACTGTGCCACAACCCCAGCCCCATAGGGGTTTTGTTAGTAAAAACGAACAGAGAGTAGATACTAGGAAGCAACTTTTTTCCAAAATACTAAGGCATTTTCTAGATCTGCTTTGATAGATTATATCAAATATGATTGCCATTAGCCTTATGTGATTGCATAAATTTAAGCTGCTGAAAATTAAACTAAGTAAAAATTCAAAGTTTATTGGGGACCACTGGTCTCAACTTCTAATATTATCACATAAACATTTTATTATTGGTGTTTTTGTTGTTATTATAATTGGAAAATTTAAGAATTGGATGGGAGAGGTGAGTAGAAATGTAAATGAGGAAATAAGAGGGCTTCAGTAACAAGTGGTGAATCAGGTCAAATGCTTCAGATTCATTTAGTTTGATAAGATCAGGGAGAAAATGGCTTTGGCAATCTGAGCCCTTGAGAGCAGCAGCAGAACTAACAGTGGGTTCCACCAGGCTCAGGAGCACACTGGGAAGTGAGAAGATGGACTTCAGTAATTGTAGGTGACGCCTTTAAATGTCCTTCATAGATTAAAGGTCAGAGCCAAGATGATGTCCCAGGGAGTCAGGGCATGGGTGACTGCTCTTGTGGCCCGTGTGTTTCTGGACTTTCTCTTGGGATAAGTATCTCTAAAAATGGCCGGAGGATAAGAAAAGGAGTCCCTAAAAAGAAAAAATATTATAATAAAAATAAGGGAATACTGGAGCCAGGTGTTCTTCATTCATTTTCTGTTTCTTGGGTATGACAACATACCCAAGATTAAGTAATTTATAAAGAATAGAAGTTTTTGTGGCTCACAGTTCCAGATGCTAGGAAGCCCCAGAGCATGGTGCACCTGCTCAGCATCTGGCTAAGGCCTCGTGGTGCATCACAACAGGGCAGGAGGTAAGGCTTCTAGCCTACATCTTCTGCTTCTTATAAAGCCACTAATGCCATCACAGGGTCCCCACTATCATGACCGTCCAAACCCTTATTACCTCCCAAAGGCTCCAACTCCAAATACCATCAACATTGGAATTTGAGAAATATTTCCAACCCATTAAATTTTACGGGACACATTCAAACCAAAGCCCCAAGTTTTGAGGAGAACAATACAATTTCATGACAAATATAGGTCCTTCTTTTTTTTTTTTAATAGGCTGCATTTCTTTTTATTTTTTTATTTCTTTTTTTTTTTTAAGAGAGAGGGAGGTTGGGGGGAGGGAGAGAGGAGAGAGAATTTTTTAATATTTATTTTTTAGTTATCGGCAGACACGACATCTTTGTTTGTATGTGGTGCTGAGGATCGAACCCGGGCCGCACGCATGCAAGCGCGCTACCGCTTGAGCCACATCCCCAGCCCATACAGGTCCTTCTTTTGACCTGGATGTATGTGGTCAGTGGGACGTGCTTTCTTTGACATGGTGGGGAGGAGAGGAGAAGAAATCAAAACAGACAAGTGTGATCAGGACAGGGAGTCAAGGGAACATATTTCTAATGGGCTCTATTGTCTTGGAAGATTTGGAAGGGCAACTCACTACTGTGTGTGAAAGAAAAAGAGGTGGCTCAGGCATAAAGAAAATGAAAAAAAATAAAAATAAAAAACTCTGATGAATACAAAAGAACCCAAGACTCAGGTAAAGATTGACAAGAAAATTATATGGAATCCTACCAGATACTCTTATTCTGACACACATTGTGTCTTTCTGGTATATGTTAATAATAACAATTATCTAAATAACATCTGTTGAAGGCTTCAGAGTGTCAGGCACTGTGCTACAGGTTTCACATCATCATCTCTCTCAATCCTCCTCTCAGCCTTTGGGCTAGGAGTGATGATTACCCCACTTTATAGATGAGCAGGTACAGAGAGAAATGAAGGTGGAACGGAATCCTAGCCTAGCCACCTGTATACCTGTGAACCTTGGGCAGTTTTCTTAATTTCTCCAAGCCTCAGATTTCTCTTGGTGAATAGGGTTGGAATCCTTGTTTTTTAAATTGATTCATTATAATTATCCATAGTAGTGAGATTTGTTGTTACATATTCATGCATGCATGTATATATAACATAATTTGGTCAATTTCATTTCCCAGTGTGGGATCTCTATTTTATTAAGATAATTGGTATGAAAGAACCCAATGCATGGTGGGTACTTGATTTTTAAAAAACTTAATAGAATATGAATTGCTATTGAGTTGACTTTGATGCAAAGTCCTTGTGATTTTCTCTTTTTCTTTCTTTCTTTTTATTTTTTGGTACTGGGGATTGAATTTGCGGCCTCACACATACTAGGCAAGTGGTCTATCACTGAGTTATACACCCAGACCTTTATTTTTAATTTCTAGTTTTTGAGACAGGGTCTTGATAAGTTGCCTAGGCTGTCCTTGAACTTGCAATTCTCCTGCCTCAGCCTCCTGAGTACCTGGGATTATATGCTTGTGTCACCACGCACATGTTCTCTCTTCCCAATGCAAGACAGACGTGCCTGCCACCACAAAAGTGAGGCTCCTTGTAATTTCTGCTACCAGGCAGGTATCAGAAATGGGCAATGTTTTTGTTTAAAAAAAATCCTTTTTTTAAATGTAGGCCTCATTATTAGCAGCTGCACACTCATCCCTCCAAAGACACTCATGTTCCCACACACAGTAGAGGCCCAAGAAAGCTCATCTCATGCTAGCTGTGGTCCACAGACTGTCAGCGTGTGACTCCTGGGTTGAAAGATTTGAGATTTTACCTGCCTCTTTCTTACAGTGTGATCTTGGAGAAGTCACTTGGCCTCCAGGTGCCTAAAAAAGGAAACTAAACAATGGCCTGCATCTCAGAGAAGGTGCTAAGACAGGCTAGCTAAAGTGTGTCAAGTTCTGAGTATTCTTGCAGTTGGCATTTCATAAAGCATAAAAGAATTCCTACTAGTATAATTCACAGGTGGCAAGAACTGGTGAGATGACCGGGGAGAAGGTATCAGGGACCTGGGGAGTCTCCTTTGGCAAGGGACTGCAGTATGTTTCTGAAGACACTGATTAATGACACTGTTTGTCCCCGTGAGGAGCAAGCATGATACACTGCTTTTCTGCAGGTGGATTGAGAGATGGGAACCCAGGGAGAGACAGGGTTAGGCTGTGTCCAGATGGGGACAGTACAGCAGGCTTGAACTCAGTCTCCAGAGTGCCCCAGGTGTTATTCGCAGGCACTTGCCCCAGAGGACAGAAATCACTTTTCCAGGCCAAAGCTGGAAATCCTGAAATTTCCCTGGCCCCAAAGAAACACTCATTGCCTCATTATTGTGATTTAAATCACTGCTCATTATTTATTGGAAAAGCAGAACATAAGGCATCTGTAGGGATCCAGCTCCACAGTTCTCTAAGCCCTGGCTGTAAGTCACCTCTAGGCTTACCATTCCCTTGAGTAGGAGCAAAACTGCTTTAATGAAATGTCCCCAGGTTGAATAAACTAGAAAATGCATCCTGTGTTGTAGCATAAGAAGAAGAATACAACAACAAATTGGTGGCAGAAGCTTGGCAGTTGAGTGCCCCTGGGCAAAAGCTCCCATCCTATCTCCCCCTGGGGCAGCATCCTGACACCAAGACTTAAGTGACACAAGGTACACATTCCTAGACTAGCTGCTATAGCAAGAAGCACTTGACTTTTTCCTAACAGTAGAAAAGCGGAACTCTAAGAGTGATTGCCATTTCTAATGGAGAGGGTGGCATCAGGAGCCCCAGAGTGCCCAGGGTGGTCTCTGGATGGCAGACCCTGATATTGGCCCACAGCTTCTTTTGGTAAAACAGCAGGGAAGGGCACTTGGTTTTCAAGGCCACAACTGGAAGATAAACAAGAGCTGATCATTCAGCTGACTTAATAACACAGCTGGGGTTTGATCAAATGTGCTTAAGTGATTAGTGAATGCTCTTTTTTTCTTCTTGTATTGCTTTAAAAGTTTTCTTTCCAAAGAAGTGCTTTGATTGTTTAAGGAACTAGTATAAAAATAAGTGCACTAATGTACAACTATTTTTACCAGGGCATAGACATGCCTCTCCCTTGTTGTTGTTGTTGGGGGGGGGGGGGGGGGGGGG